GGAGCGAGCCGCGCCCTTTGCAGACCCTGCCGTGCCCTGACCCGGGCACCTCGGACGCCTGCCTTCCACCTCCCGGGCAGGAGGTCCTCGGGGCTGGAGGACGGAATGGAAAAGCCGAAGCCCTTCAAGCTGTTCGTGCCGCCGCGGCTGAGCAGCAGCCAGGTGTCGGCAGTGAAGCCCCAGACCCTGGGAGGGGACGCCAATTTCTTCAAGGTGAGTTTTCAAGCGAGTGGCCATCCTGTACTTCTGGCGGAAGAGGCAGAGTGGACTTTGGAGTGGCAGTATTTTGTGATTTTTTTTTTTAACCCCCTTTTCGGTAAGTGTGGTCGGATTTAACCCAAGGACTTTCAGGAGCTTTGCACGGGATGAAGGGCGGGGTCCCCGGGCGCAGTAGAGAACGCATCGCTGCTGCTCTAGAACTCGGCTGCGTAGCCTCCGCGGGCAATCTGACCTCCTGCCTTAAACGATTGTAGGCAACTCATAAGGCCCCTGCAGCAAAATATAAGTAGGGGAAAATTAGAAAATCCTACAAGGGAAAATAGAAATGTTTGAACAAATGCCTCCATAGGGATGACAATTTGTGTTGTGGCTGAGCCTCAGGTTTTGCTCTGAGCTTCCTGGTGGGTAGGGTAAAGATGGAAATTCGCTTATATAGTAAAGGTCTCACGAAAAGGAGAAATTATACCAAATTTCTCACGTAAAGCAGCTTTTTCTACTATTGAATTATTAAAAAAAATTCGCATGTACTTTTCATTGGAGGTGGAATGATGCAGTTACTATTTTAATTTTATATGCTGTAGTTTAAAATTTCTTATGGCTGCTGTAACCAAAGAGTATATCATTTACATGTTATTCAGTTGAAGACAATTCTCAGTTCTGTTGAGGCGAAGATCATAATGAAGGAAACTCCTAATATTATTCCATACTACTAGTTAAAGTTACCAATATCTAGCCGGGTGCGGTGGCACCAGTCTGTAATCCCAGCGGTTGGAGAGGCTAACACAGGAGACTCAAAGTACAAAGCCTGCCTCAGTAAGAGCGAGGTGCTAAACAACTCAGTGAGACCCTGTCTTTAAATAAAATACAAAATAGAGCTGGGGATGTGGCTCAGTGGCAGAGCGCCCCTGAATTCAATCCCTGGTGTCCCCCCCCCAATAAATTACAATTACAAATATCTACAAAGATTGTGTTAATTTATACATTAGTTTCATTTTATTAGTGAAAATACCTAATTAAAAGTTTTGCTTTGTTAACACAGCAAAAGCATTTGGTATTTTAAACTTTGTGTATATTAAAGGATTTATAATTACAGTCAATTCTTTGAGCAGATGTATATCACGTATTTGTGTATTTCACTGTTATATATCACAGTGGTGTGAAGCAATATACTTAAGAACTTTTTTGTATTTTTAGAGTTTCAACAAGTGTATTGAAGATGATTTTGGTTTTCCTTTTGCAACAACTAATCTCTCCAAAAATGGGGAAAACATTGATTCAGGTAGGAGCCTAGACTAACAATATATCATCTTATAGAGAATCATGTTATTATATACATTGCCAGTTGTTGAAAATATAATATAAATATTAAGTTGATGTCCTTGATATTAAACTAGAAGTAATAATTCATGTTAAAATAACATGTTGGCTTATCTAATATTAGTTGTCTCTTAACTTGCAGATCCTGCTTTACAAAAAGTTAACTTTTTGCCCATGCTTGAGCAGGTCAGTTAATCTTAAGAGTATATAGATATAATCTATTTAGGTATTGAATTGCTTATTTAAAGAAGAAAAAAACTCTTTAGTTGTTGGATTGCTAGTCTTATGTTTTTAATTGTTGTTATTTGGAAGCTCTCAAATATTTTTTTATAGGAAATATTCATTTTTTAGGTTGATAATTCTGGCAGTTTCCACTATCAGGAAGGACTAAAAGGCTCTGATTTTGAGGTTAGATTTCCCATTCTTATAAACTTTCTTATAATTGGAGTATGATTTATTATTTGTATATATATCTTTCTTTTGAAACTTTAAAGGGATTAATATTGATTAATGTTTTTACAATGTATTCTTTAAAGCTGTGTTTTGTCTTTTAAAATCTCTGAAACACAAGGATTCTGTACTTTGTTGTAAAACTTTCAGTTTTTAGGGGCAATTTCTTTTTCTTTCTTTCTTTTTTTTTTTTTTTTGGTAACTGATTTTTTTGGGTGTGGAGTGCAGTTTTTTAAACCATAGAAATCAAGACTAGAAGAGGGAAAGTGGATATAGTATGTGAAATGGCTAAGAATCAAGCCAGTATTTTACAAAATAATCTAGTAGACATAACTGATCATTTGGCTAATTTATTATATAAGGAATTTGTAGGATATGAAATACTTTTTTTTTGGGGGGGGGGATACCAGGAATTGAACTTGGGCACTTGACCACTGAGTGACATCCCAAGTGCTATTTTGTATTTTATTTAGAGACAGGGTCTCGCTGAGTTGCTTAGCACCTCACTGTTGCCGAGGCTGGCTTTGAACTCATGATCCTCCTGCCTCAGGGATTACAGGCATGTGCCACCATGTCCAGCTGACATATTGTACTTTTGATATTAGTTATAAAAATGTTCTTAAGGTGTATAGATCTCTCTCTCTCTCTTTTTTTGATGTGGGGCATTGAACCCAGAGGCACTCAACCACTGAGCCACATCCCCTGCCCTTTTTTATGTTTTTTATATATATATATATATTACCATATATACATACACACACACATTTTTTCCCCTTTCAGTGCTTTATTCACTCACATTACTCAATACAATTTAACTATAGGTTCTTTTTTATTGATATAAACAAAAATAAATGACAGTGGAATGAATTACAAGTCTTGTTTTATATATATATATATACGCACATATAAATAACACATATTCAGCACAATTTTTCATATCTCTGGTTTTATATAAAGTATGTTGACATCAATTTTGTGTCTTCATACTGTACTTTGGATAATAATGTCCATCACATTCTACCATCATTTATAACCCCATGCTCCCTCCTTTTCCCTCCCACCCCTCTGCCCTATCTAGATTTCATCTATTCCTCCCATGCTCCCCCTCCCTACCCCACTATGAGTCAGCCTCCTTATATCATAGAAAACATTTGGCATTTTTTTTTTTGGACTGGCTAACTTCACTTAGTATTATCTCTCCAATGCCATCTGTTTACCTGTAAATGCCATGATTTTTAAGTTGTAGATAGACACATAATATCTTTTATTTATTTGTATGTGGTGCTGAGGATGCCTCACACATGCAAGGCATGATTTACTACTGAGCTACAGCCCCAGACCTTTTATATTTCATTTAGAGACTGGGTCTCCTTGAGTTGCCTAGGACCTCACTAAATTGCTGAGGCTGACTTTGAACTGATGATCCTCCTGTGTCAGCCTCCTGAGCTGCTGGGATTACAGGTGTGTGCCACTGTGCCTGGTTTAGATGTCTTTTAAATGAAGGAAAATTTCATGGCTTGATAAAGTACTACTGTGGTAATAGTATCACAGAATTTTAAAATACGGAACCTATTCAGATATTTTAATAACAAAAAACTATCAGGTGAAGTGGCACATGCCTATATCCCAGCTGTTCAGAAGGTTGAGGCAGAAAGTTCATAAATTATAGGCCATTTGATGAGAACCTGTCTCAATAAAAGAGCTGGGGGAGGAGCTCGCTGGAGAGCTGTCTGAGGTCCTGGGTTCAATCCCTAGTAGTATAAAAACAAAAATAACAAGAGCAGCAGCAGCAACAAAAACTTTAAAAAGCTCTAAGTGAGCAGAAATAAATGTGTTGAAGAAAATAAGATAGGGTCTAGGGGTCTGATGATCCCGGGATATAATTCCAGAGGCTGAGGCAGGAGGATTATAAATCAAGGCTAGTCTGGGCAACAGAGTGAGATCTTGTTTCAAAATAAAATGGGCTGGGAGTGTTATCTCCCCTTAGTCTACTCCCCAGGACTGGTGTGGGTGGTGGGTGGGGAAAAGCTGAGGGTGTCACTCAGTGGGAAGTGATTTGCATAGCATGCCCTATATCCTGAGTTTGAGTCCCAGCACTGCCAAAAAAAAAAAAAACAAAAAAAACAAAAAAAACAACAACAACAACCACCACAAAAAAACCCAAACAGAAAAAGGGAGGAATGGTGGAATGAAATTTACCAAATTATGCAGTGTACATATATGAATTTACCAAAGTGAATTTCACCTTTATGTATACCTGTAAAGCACCAATTAAAAAAAACTATAAATGAATAGAAGGAAGTCCCATAGAGTAGAGGAAGGGGAGTTGGATGGGGGCGGGGAGGGAGGAGAGAGAGAGAGGAAGTATTGGCTCCTTAAGCGGAGCAAATTATGTTCCCTGCGTGTATGATTATGCTAAAATATCGTGTATAACTATAATGTAGTAATAAAAACATAAGAAAGCCCCAAACAGGAATGCCTCTGATCTTTACAATATAATGTGGATTAAAAAATTCAGAAAATCTAAGTAAAACTTTGGGCTCAATGAATTAATGTCTTCTGTTCACTATTCTTTTTCTTGGCATTATATTTTAAAATTTACATTCCTGGGGCTGGGGATGTGGCACTCAAGTGGTTGTGCGCCCTGGCATGCGCGTGGCCCTGGGTTCGATCCTCAGCACCACATACAAATAAAAATAAAGATGCTCTGTCTGCTGAAAACTAAACAATAAATATTAAAAAATTCTCTCTCAAAAAAATTTTACATTCCTTTTTTTTTCAAAAATTTTTTATTCTAATTAGTAGTATATCACAGTAGAATGCATTTTGTTTGACACATTGTATACAAATGAAGCACAACTTCTTATTCCTCTGGCTGTACAGAGTCATACCAGTAGGGTAATCATACATGTATATAGATAATATCTGTCTCATTCTATTGTCCTTCCCATCCCCACAGCCCCGCCCGTCTCCTTACTCCTCCCCTATGTATAATCCAAAGTTCCTTCATTCTTCCCTACCTGCCCCCCCCCCCCACTATGGATCAGCATCTTCTTATCAGAGAAAACATTTGGCCTTTGGGTTGAGGAGATTGACTTATTTCACTTAGCATGATATTCTCTAGTTCCAGCCATATACCTGCAAATGCCATAATTTCATTCTTCTTTAAGGCTGAGTAATATTCCATTGTGTATATGTACCACATTTTCTTTATCCATTCATTTGTTGAAGAGTATCTAGGTTGGTTCCATAGTTTAGCTATTTTGGATTGAGCTGCTATAAACATTGATATGGCTGTGTCACTGTAGTATGCTGATTTTAAGTCCTTTGAATATAAACTGAGGAGTAGGATGACTGGGTCAAATGGTGGTTAAAATTCACATTCTTGACTTAATTCTCACACTGTTTCTATAATCAAAATGTTTCAAGGTCACTGTTAAAATTTACAGATTTCTTGTAGAGTGATTTAAGGTTTTACCTATCTAGATTCTCCCATTGATTAAAATATTTCTAACTTCTTATTTAAGCACATTTTAGTTATTTGATTTTATTTAGTAAGGTATAACTTGGTTAAGTGACAAATAACTTCAGTGAAGTAGCTAATATTGTCTTAGTAGTTTAGGAGTTAAGATAGCTTTCAGTATGCTATATTAGAGCATAAATTGAGGATCGAGTCACCATTAGAATATGGATATTTTCAATAGGCATCTGTAATTTGTTTTTATTAAAATTTTGAAAAATTAATTTTTAAAAATCTATTTTAACAGAATTCGGAGCCAATGAGCAGACTATATTCAAAACTGTATAAGGAAGCTGAAAAGATCAAAAAGTGGAAAGTGAGTGTAGAATCTGAACTGAAACAGAAAGAAAATAAATTGCAAGAAAATAGAAAGATAATTGAAGCACAGCGAAAAGCCATTCAGGAACTGCAGGTATAGTGAATTTTTAAATTATAAATATAACATAGTAAATGTTAGTACCATTGAAAATAGAGTATTATTTGAAAGTAAATTGGGTTTGTCTTGTTTTTGTGATGAGGATTTTTAAGATAGTGCTTTTTGAAGTTGGTTATAATTCAACTTTGAGAGAACAAGCTGTAACAAACATAATGCAAGTGATTAGAGAAACAACAAATTACTTTAATGACTAATTAATGACTAGTTTGTGATAGTTTTTTTTTAAAAATCCTATTGATACTGTTTTATTTGGTGTCTTTCATTATATTAGAATATAGTATTTATTTATAACCTTGAATTTAAAACTGACTTTATAGTATAAAGTTAGAAAGTTGATAAAATGCAAACAGAGCTAAAACATCACTGGAAAATGAGAGAAAATAACATGGCATTAAAATATAGTTTAATCTTTTTAAAGATTATTCAGCAAACTATTTTAGATTGATGAAAGTGAGACTCATATTCTTATGGGAAATTCATAAGTGGTGGGAAGAAATTTCCTTTTTGTATAGAAAAAAAATTATAGACTGTTGTAGCATATTTAGTAAAGAAATGCTGCTTAATGATTATACTCATATTTATTTTGCTAAGCAAAATGTGATGCACTGTTTTTCCATTTGTAAATTAGTTTGAGAATGAAAAAGTAAGTTTGAAATTAGAAGAAGAAATTCAAGAAAATAAGGATTTAATAAAAGAGTAAGTATTAATTTAATAAATTTGTTCTTTCCAAATTTTATTTTTATACTGAATTTATCATTAAAATAGTTTTCAAAATATTTTGAGCACTTTCTTTTTTTAAAAAAATTTTAAATATATTTTTTTAGTTATAGATGGACACAATGCCTCACACATGTGAGGCAATTGCTCTACCACTGATCCATAACCCCAGCTTCTATTTTGAGCACTTTCTATATGTTATGTAGCATTAATTTATAGCCAGGCATGGTGTGGTGCACACCTGTAATCCCAGGTTGAGGACGGGAGTTTGCAAGTTCGAGGCCAGCTTCAGCAATTAGGCCACCTAAGCAACTCAGTGAGTCCCTTTTTCAAAATTAAAAATTGAAAGGGGCTAGCGATATGGCTCTGTGATAAAGCACCCCTGGGTTCAATCCCTAGTACCAGAAAAGAAAAAAAATATATATAAGTAGAACTCTACCTTAAAGTGCTGTGAAAAAAGGAAGATGTAACCATTCTGCATTCTTGCATTTGGTAAACTGTGGTCACTGACTGACTTTCAGTTTTTAAAATGTCAAGCATCAGAAGAGTCATTACTTGAGGTCAGAAAAGTTGTATTTCTATGGATATTATCTAGTTTTCTGTAGACTAGGGCTCAACTTAGTTCCAAGCTGATCCTCACTGTCAAATTCCTGTTTTTGCCAGTGTAACAATTCATTCCTACAGAAAAGTTATAGATGGAAAAATTAAATTTTACTTCTTTGTCTGTTGGTAACTCCTAAAAGACAGCTAGAAATCTTTGTTATTCATGTAATGAATGCCTAGTCAGAAAGTTACCTCATTTTTTGTTTTGAAGATTAGACATCTAGAGCATTTTGGAGGTAATTAGTAAATGAAAAGTCTTAACACATCATTTCTCTCTATCTGGAACTTTTTCTTGAAGGTTTATAGATAACAACTTGGGTAGAAACTTGTTAGAGTTATCACTTTTACTTAAAGGGAAGCAGTTACTGAATTATCTTTGCTAATATTATAGTCACTCAACTTTTTCTTCATATATATGTGATGCATGATACATGATATGTATATATATAAAATACAATGTTTTAAAATTTCTTTAAAATTAAAATATTGAAACAGAATGTTTCATAATTTTCAACATGGGATTTTGCTTTGAGATTGGATTACACCTGGTCAAACTTGTTCATTTGTTTCAGGAATAATGCTACCAGGCATTTATGTAATCTACTTAAAGAAACCTGTGCTAGATCTGCAGAGAAGACAAAGAAATGTAAATATCTTGTTTTATGTGACTTTATCCACTTATTGAATAATTGAGGCAGAGAAGAAATTATCTTTTCACCTTTTTGGAACTAATTTTAATTCAAATAAGTTTTATGTGCCTCATACCATTTCTTTGTGTAAGTAGCAACTACATTCTCAGTTATTATTTAATTCAAAGTTTTTTGAAAGTTCACGACTTTTTTCAAAAGGTAACATTTGGCAAATACTTGGCATTTATAGTTAATCTATATTTCATTTAGTGTGATTTTTAGATTAACTTTCTCTTTTGTCTGGAATAACCACAAAATTGAATCAAGAACAAGACATAGCCATGTCCATCAGAGAAAATACTGCTGGAGGGCATGCACTATAACAACGTGAGACAAAAATGGAGTTCATATATGTTAGTCCCATAAAATAATAATGGACCTTAAAAAGTCCTGTAAACTAAGATGTAGCCTTTGTAATATTGTAGTGCAACACATTATTTGTGTTTGTAGTGATGCTGGTTTAAGTAAATCTACTGCACTGCTTGTTGTATAAAAGTATGGCACATTAAAATTATGTTCAATATGTAATACTTTATAGTGATAATAAATGTACAAGTGGTTTATGCATGTTCTGTAATATCTTTAATCATTATTTTGAAGTGTATTCCTACACATAAAAAAAAGTTAACTGTAAAACAGCCTCAAGTGGGTCCTTCAGAAGGTATTCCAGAAGACTTACTATCACAAGAGTTGATAGGCCTATATGTGTTATTGCTTCTGAAGACTTTCCACGGGGACAAGATGTGGAGGTGGAATCCTATATAGGTCTAGGCTTATGTGTATGTTCATCTTAGTTTTTAACAGAAGTTTAAAAAGTAAAAAATCTAAAATGGAAGATATTTTATAGAATAAGAATAGGAGGAAAATATATTTTTGTACAGTTGGACAGCATATTTTTGTTTTAAGCTAAGTGGTATTACAAGAGTCTAAAAGTTAAGAAAATTAAAAGTTTATGAAGTAAATTAAAAGTTTATGAAGTAAAAAAGTTATAGTAAGTTCATTATTGAAGAAAGAATTCTTAAAATAAATTTAGTGTAGCCTGTGTACAGTGTAGTATTTTTAAAGTATTATGCAGTATTATGCACTAATATCACAAAAATAGGAATCGAGAACAGGACAGCAAATAGAAAACATAATATAATAGATAATAATTCATCTTTATCAATATATCACTTTGAATGATGACGGTCTAAATGATAAAAGATAAATGTGGTCAGAATGGACAAAAAATAAGACCCAACTATATATTGTCTGTAAAATAGTCTTTCTAGATATAAAGACATATATACATTAAAAGTAAATGGGTAGAGAAAGATATATTAACACTAATAAAAAGTAAGGAGGGGCTGGGGATGTGGCTCAAGCGGTAGCGCACTCGCCTGGCATGCGTGCGGCCCGGGTTCGATCCTCAGCACCACATACAAAGGTGTTTTGGTCGCCGAGAACTAAAAAATAAATATTAAAAAATTCTCTCCCCCCCCCACTCTCTCTCTCTCTTTAAAAAAAAAAAAGTAAGGAGTAGCTGTATTGATTTAGAATATAACAAAAAATTGCTGCTGGTTGTGGTGGCGCATACATGTAATCCCAGTGATTTGGAAGGTTAAGGCAGGAGGATGGCAAGTTCAAAGCTGGTTTTAGCAACTTAGTGAGGCCCTAAGCAACTTAGTGAGACCCTGTCTCAAAATAAAAAACAAAGAGAGTTGGGAATGTGGCTCAGTGGTTAAGTCCCTGGGTTCAATCCCCAGTACCAAAAAAAAAAAAAAAAAAAAAAAAATTGCTAAACATTCAACTAGTAAAATGTGACTTTTCTAAGTCTCAGATTATTATTCTCTAGCAAGCAATCAAAGATAAGATGAATGGTGAAGTATACAATAAAATATGTATTAACAGACCACAGAAATAGACCTTCTATAGTATAGTGTAACTCCAGAGTTTCTTGCTTGAATTTTTGGCTGAATATTTGGTGTTAAAGTCATTATTATTGTCCTTATTATTTCTCCTGGTGCTATGGATTGAACCCAGGGCGAGTCTTTCCCTTTAGATCACTGCTGCTGTATAGGGAAGAGATTGACTTTTGTTTTCTTACAAACTTGATGTAATTGTTCATTTTGGGAGTTGTTTTTTTGTGTCTTAAATTTTCTGCATAGAAAATCATGTGTGTGAACAAGAAAGTTTGATTTCTTCCTTTCTAATCATGTCCCTTTTATTTCCTTTTCTGGTTTTATTGAATTAACTAGAACTTTTATTAAGTGTTAAAGTGATGAAAGGAGACATCCTTTCTCTTTCCTTATCTTAGAGAGAAAGTTTCTAGTTTCTTACTTGTGAAGATTGTTGTTTTTGGTTTTTCTTCCCCAGTCTTTTTTTCTCTTTGCTTTCCATTTTGGAAATTTTTGTTGAACTACATCTTCAAGCTCAGAAATTATTTTCTTAGCTATGTTTAGTGTACTTTATTTCTATTTCTATTCTTGATAGGTAGCATTTTGATTTGGTTCTTACTTAGTTTCCAGCTCTACTTATATTGCCTATCTGTTTATTTTATTTTATTTATTTTATTTTTTTTTGTTGTGCTGGGGATTGAACCCAGTATTGCCAAAGGCTGAAGACCAGATTTGAGCCCCATGCCTTATAAGTCTAATTAACAAAGAGGGAAACAGTGGTGAAGCAAGAAATCAATTTAGGGAAGGTATTGGGAATGAGATTGATCAAATTTTGTGCATGTATGAAGATGGCATACTGAATCCCACTATTATGCGTAAATTATAATATAAAAAAGAGATGAATTTATTCTTGGTTTAACCAAAACTTAGAAGATAACAGCCTAGAAATATTTCCTATATGGACAATAGCTTTAGGATAATATAGAGGAAAAGACAAAGAGGAGAATCCAATGGTATGCATATGTATGTTCTGTCAGTTTGTGTAAGCCCTGACTTAGAGCTGCCAGGGCTTAGGGGTGGGGGTGGTTTCTACTCACAGCCCAAGATGGAGCTGGGAAACAAAAAGCACTTTAAATCATACAGATTGGGAGAACTGGGTGTTTCTTTTACGTCTTTCAATTTTAAAGGATCTCTTGTTACAGGGGAGCCTAGGAAAAGCTCTCTACCACTGATCTATTCTCCCACTTCTCTGCCTCTCTATTCTTGCACATCTACTTTATCTACTCAAGTCCATAGCATAGTAGTTGGAGTTGTTTTAAATTCCTCCTTTGATAATTCTAATATCTCTTCCCTATCTGACTCTTGTTTGGTCTGATGCTTGCTCTGTCTTATTGTAATGTATTTTTTGCCTTTTATTATGCCTTGTAACTTTTTTAAATAGCTGGGCAAGAAACTGTTGTAAATAGGCCTCAGTAATGTTGTGGTAAAGTGTAATGAGAGGGGAAGTGTTCTATAGACCTATGGTTAGGTTCAGTCTTTTAGCAAACCTTTTCCTATGGATTGTGAACTTGGCAAGTACTTCTCAGTCTCTTTTAGGTGGGACAAAATGGCTTGGGTTGGCTGGAGTTTGTCATTTCCCTTTTTCTAAACAGAAAGCTAGATGGGGATGGAGTTGGATATTTTTCTTCCTCCATGTGGAAATCTATAACTGGCTAGAATTGGTTCCCTCCCTTCCCCTTAGGCCATTTAGACTCTGATAAAATCCCAGCTGATTTTGCCCTGATAAAATAGTTTCTCTCAAAGACAGGCCCTATAAAGAACAAGATGCATTAACATTTCCAATGGTTTCTTTTTCCCTCCTCATGTTAATGCACAAGAGGATGTTTGCTGTGAGAATCAGGTAGAGCTTTAGGAGGTAAATGTCACAAGTGTTGGAACCCCTCCCTCTTAGGTCCCCCTGCAGTTTTCATCTCTCAAACTGTCCACCCTGTTTCTAGCCGTCTGTCAATTGCAATTCATGTTTTCTTAGGCTGGTTGTGGTTCCCACAGAGTTTTCTGTTCTGGATTTCTATCCTGGTTAAGTTGTGATTTGTTCTAAATGGGCCTTTCTCTAATATTAAGGGCAGTAGGTTGCTCTGTGACTTCACTTTCCTTTCAGTCTTTTTTGGCTTTCAATGCTATTTCAAAGGACTCAGAACTGAATTAGATATCCCAGTGCCCTTCATGAACAAAGAATTTTAAGTATTTTAATGTTTTTTTTGAGATATTGTAAGAATTTTTGACATCATTAAGTGTTTTAAAATTAAATTCTGAAAATTTTATATTAATAATAGATGAATATGAACGGGAAGAAACCAGGCAAGTTTATATGGATCTAAATAATAACATTGAGGTAAGTATTAGTGAAAATCTGAATATTTTAAAAAGAATAATTTCTAAGCAATGTAGAGTGATAGCTATAAAGATTATAGCTATAAAGATTATAAAAGAATAATTTCTAAGCAATGTAGAGTGATAGCTAGAATAATCTTTTGGCTCAAACGATTATTACTTATTTTGTTGATGTATGATCGAATCACAATAAAATTCCCAAGATCTTATGAGTACTAATGTTTTGTTATGTAGTAGCTTTCTGATTTACATACTAGTTACACTATTCAATGAAATATATCAAATGTTCATTAACTCTTAAGTCAGAGATCAGCACATTTTGACACATCCATTAATTTGAAAACATATGAAGTATTATTAATCTGTGTCTGACTTCTGTGTGCCTTTGTTGTCTCATCTTCTATCATTCACTATTTTGATTTCCTGCTGTAGTCTTTTTATTTTTCCCTCTTTTCCCCTCTATTAAGTAAAAGGGATTAAGTTGTACTGGTTAGTGGTCAGGACATTGCAGAACATATCCATGCTCAAATTGTCTATATTAAGGCTAGCCATGAGAGACATTCTGGGGAACCCATGCTTCTAGTTTGGCCTGATGCTATGTATGATGTAGGGGAAAAAACCCTAGTATTTAAGAAAACAATTTTTTTGTACTGTGAATTCAACCTAGGGGTGCTTAACCCCTGAACCATGTTCTCAGGCCTCTTTATTTTTTTATTTTGAGATAAGGTCTTGCTAAGTTTTTTAGGATTTCACTAAATTGCCGAGACTGGCCTCGAACTTGCAGTCCTTCTGCCTCAACACCCTCCCGCCCCCAGTTGTTGGGATTACAGGCATGCACCTCCATGCTTGACCAACCTAACTTCCTTCCTTCCTCTTTTCAGTGTTTGTAACAATTTTATTTATAATAACCCCAACTGGAAAAAAACCAAAACCCCTCAGTAAATTAATAATTAGGAAAACTGATACATCAAGGAACTACCAAAACATGCTACAACTTGAATGGATCACAAGGACATTACGCTGAGTGAGACAAGCCAATCTCCAGAGGTCATCTGTTATGATTCCATTTATATGATAATCTCAAAATAACAAAATTATAGAGATGGAGAGCAGTTAGGTAGTTGTCAGGAGTTAGGTATGGTTTCTAGGGTGTTTCTCAGCATTGCTGAGCACTTTCTGATTTTGTCTCTTTGAATTTGTTCCCTCTGTGTAGAACTTTTGTGTCCAATATCTTATGTACACTTGTAAACTATATTCTGTTTTTTTTGTTTTCCTGACCTTACTATTAATCTAAAAGTCTAAAAGTCTTCATTCAATTATTCTGTGTCTCCTCATCTCATTTAACTTTTCTGAAGAGCATTTAAAACTACATGACATTTATTTGAATCCATACATGTATGTTCGTGTGTGTGTGCGCGTCATCAATTCCAGTAGGGTAGAGAGTTTGTCTTATATCCCAAGTGCCTAAAATAGTTACTGGCCCATACTAGGCACTCAATAAATATTTAATGAATGAATGAATCTGATTTTATAAAGCAAGATTTATTGAATGTTGTGTGAGCACATTCTATCAGGCGATTCTTATAGAGGACTCACTTAAGTGGGGAAGAGAGAAATTAAATAGGCATAAACAAGTATAAAATTACTGATTTTGCGAAGTATTATTAAGTGAATGAATATAATGCCAACAAAATTTTGCTGCTGTTTTGTATTATCTAACATGTCTCCATGCTTTTAGGCATCTGGGAAGCTAACAATATAAGCTTTCCTAATACATGTTAGTAAGTTATTTCATCATTTTAATTATAGGGCTTTCATTATTCAAAGTTGTGTGGTTTTATATTCAATGATTACATGTTAAAATTTTATTAATATTTTCAAAGTTTGAAGAAAGGTTTTTCAAAAGTCTGATTCTCAAAAGTTAAACTTTATCTTCCAGAAAATGATAATAGCTTTTGAGGAACTTCGTGTTCAAGCTGAGAATTCCAGACTGGAAATGCATTTTAAGTGTAGGAATCCTATGTTACTCTTCTGCTATTTGTAGTTTTATTAGTTTTTGTTTACATGTTAATCTGTTTAGTTTGAATCCCTCAACTATTTTACATTTTGTATTGTCTTTGTTTTTTGTAAGCCCCTCAAAATCTTGTGGGATATGACAGGGAAGTAATGTATGTTAAAAATGTTATTTTTGTTTTAAAACTACATTTTTTGCCTGGGTGTGGTAGCACATGCCTGTAATCCCAGCTACTGGGGAATCTGTGTAAGGAGAATTATAAGTTTGAGGCCAGCTTGAGAAACTTAGTGAGACCCTGTCTCCAAGAAAAATAAACAAAAGGCTGGAGGTATAGCTCAGTATTTGAACATTAATCTTGTTCAAGGTTCTGGGTTCAGTCCCCAGTACCATACATACATATATACATACATACGTACATACTGCCTAATACATATATACAAACTGTGTTTTACATGAAATTAAACTTATTATGGTTTGTATTTTTATAAGTATAGTTTGGTCTTTTATATTTCTTGGTAAATTATACATCTAAAAATAATTATATCTAAAACTTTTTATATTATAAAAAAGATATATATACATGCTACTATAAGAATTTAAAATTTTTAAGTTATAATTTGCTATTAAATTCACTTTTACTAAACAAAGCAGGAAGAAAATAGCAGCTTTAACTCTTTGAAATTTTTGGAGTTTAATATAATTTGAGATAAGGAAGTGAAATTATCTTTCAGTTGGTTTGTAATGTAAAAGTTCAATACAATTATGTTAAGACATTGCACATATTTATTTTATTTTTAAGTAAAGGAAGATTATGAAAAAATCCAGCACCTTGAAGATGAATATAAGAAAGAAGTAAATGACAAGGAAAATCAGGTTTTTTTTTAAAGCCAACTCTATATTCTTTTTGAAAAATTAATTAAAATTTTTTTCTGCCAACACAATATTTATACATATTAATAAAGTACATTGTGATATTTTAATTCATATATATTGGGTAGGGATTAATGCAGAGTAATTAGCATATTAATCACCTAGACTTTTATCATTTCTTTATGGTGGGTACATTTAAATTTCAAGTATTCTGAAATATATAATGCTATATTCTTTGTAAAATTTGTTACTTCATAAAATCTTAACGAGATATTTTTGTTTGCTGGCTACATGATAAATTTCTGAGAGAATTTATTATATGTATCTAAATATTTACTCTTTTGCTTAGTCAGTTTATTTTTTATTGACTTAAATATGTACTCACTGAATGCTTGGTTTTTTATAATGAATCTTATACAATATTTACATTGGTTTACATTGCTACAAAAATATAAGAAATTTTGTTCAGATTAAAAAAACCTAATAAAATGTAAAGATTATCATTGACTATGCAACTCACATTTTACAGTTTATTTTGAAACTTCCTATCCATGACACCAATGAAAAGAAACTAAAACATTCTGTTGCTTTTTTCTATTAATATCATATAGTGGAAGACTTGAAAATGGTAAGTCTATACCCTTTGACATTTGTAAGAATGTCAGTTTCAGATTATCATTTTGCCACATATATATTTAAGCCTTATTCATACATATCACATTCAAGCCTTCTGCTTCGGAGATAAAAAGAGATACATAAAAAGGAATCTTATTTCCAACTATTTTTTTAGTTTTTCTCCTCTTATTTGACATAAAATATTACAGTTAAGGATATATGCTTAAATAATAAAATTAAAGTATAGAAAGATAACTTAAAAGAGTTTTAAATTGTGGTTAAATGATAGTATTTTTTTTGTTTAGATATTTTGAAAGAGTTGTTAGCAATTGTATTTTATCTTTATTTTTAAATCAGATTTCCTAAAGAAGGAAATCTTTTTAAAAGTTAAAATAATGCAACTGGGAGCAGCGGTGAATGGCCGTAATCCCAGTGGCTCAGGAAGCTGAGGTGTTGGATCAAGGCACTAAGCAACTCAGTGACACCCTGTCTCTAAATAAAATACAAAATGGGGCTGGGGATGTGGATCAGTGGCCTAGTGCCCCTGAGTTCAAGCCCAAGTGCCCCCCGCCCCCCGCCAAAAAGTTAAAATAATGCTTATTATGAAAAGCACAGAAACAGAGTATAATGCTAAAAAAGCTTTTTGGTGTTCTTGAGATATGTATAGTGCTTCCAGATTGTTAGACTTCTTTGTAAATTGATTGGGTGATCAGCCAATGTCCTATTCACCCTGATGCCCTGCCCCCATCCTGAAATGGGAATCCTAAATATTATTTGTAAGATTTTTTTTTTGTGGCTTTCTAAATTCCTTCTTGGGGGGGATATAAACTTGGCTGATGCCATATGTTAGGCACACACTCTTCCTCTGAGCTACATCCTCCAACTCCGATTTTTTAAAATTGATATGCTTGTCTTCCTTTGCAAAGATGGAGTAGGGTCAGTTCTCTGACTACAGTAGATGTCAAGTAGTGGAGTCCTGGGTAGGAGGGTTGACTGAACCTAGAGAGGACTTATTACTCTTTACAGACTTCAGTTTCCTTTTACTTAGACTCTTGTTTTATACTCACCTATACAGTGTCTGTTACCTCTAATTCTTGAAACATTATGGCATTCTTTGAGGTGAGTTATTTTGCTTCTCATTAATACTTTTCTATGCAGTCTCTTTAGTTTGACATTACTTCTCTGAGCTAGGTCCATTCCATCCAGCTGCTTGTTTTTTTTTTTTTAAATATGTTGTGGCTTATGAACTTTATGGACTCATGTGGTTTCATAAATGATTAAATCTGTTTTTCTTGTTTTCCCAGTTAATTTTTGGGTGATTTGGAGGTGAAAAAAGGGGAGAGAAGGTCTTTTTGTCATCTTGGATCTTGAAGTCTTCAACTTATTTTTAGAGGTTTAATTCTGACCTTTTCTTCACATCAATGCTATACTCTTTTAACCATCTGAATATTTTCAGTTATGTGAATAAAGCACGATCTCTCCATCCTTTGTGTTCAGCCTAGAATACTCATTTCCCAATGTTTGCGTGATTCATTGCTACATGTCTATCATTTCAAGCCCTTTTGAGAATAAATTTTTGATTACTTTCTCCAAGACTGATTTAAGTGTTCATGATTCCTATAACACTTTCATCTTATTACTAGTGTAGTTGTCTCCCAATCTAGGCTCTGAGTTCCTTGAAGATGACTTTCCTAATATTCATATATGCAATACTTATGGTTTCTGGTGCTCAATACTATTGAATGAACAAATCAGTACACTCTATTATTCCATCTTCTCAGTAATAACTTGAAATGCATAGTATAACATTGGGTATCTTGTGCTAGCTTATTCATTAATTTTAATAAACCTAATAAAAATAAATGTTTATTATGCAAGCATGTATGAAATACTCAGTACATACAGTCATCTAAAGTATGTAGAGAAGTATATAAAGCAATTACAGGAGATAAGGGCTTAGGTGCCACATTTAACTTTTTATATCTATAATTTTTTATATCTATAACTTAAAAAAATCTATTCTAAATCTGTTATACATGACATGAATGCTTCTCAATTCATAGTACACCTAGAGCACAGTTTTTCATGTCTCTGGTTGTACTCAAAGTAGAGTTATACCATTTGTGTCTTTATACATGTACATAAGGTATTGATGTTCATAATGCTTTAAAAAATATTTCATTTTAGTTATCGCTACTACTGATCCAAAGTGCTGAGAAAGAAGATAAAATGAAAGATTTGACATTTCTGCTAGAGGAATCCAGAGAAAAAATTAATCAATTGGAGGAAAAGACAAGTAAGAATTTACATAATATGTCAATGTGTCATATGTATTCCTTGTTATGATCAAAATTTTGACTTTATTTACAAGTTTGTTGTAGTTATTTTCTGGTGCTGTAATTCCAGGTTGGAACAGTTGTCATAATAGAATCACTTGGGGAGTGTTTTCAAAGTAAAACTTTTCCCTTTTCTATGCTTTTAACCTACCCCAAAGTTTCAACTTTGTGTTCCAAAAAGATAGGGATCTGTGTCTTTTTTGTTCACTGATGGATTTCAAGTGCTTAGAACAGGATCCAAAACATATGAAGTACTCATAAATTATAAATGAATGAATTCCATGGGAGTAATATGGAGGAAGCTATTTTTCCCAGAGGAAGACATTTGGGAAAGCATTACAGAAAAGTTATTGAACCATAACATAGATGATTTTTTTTTATATTTATTTTTTAGTTTTCGGCGGACACAACATCTTTGTTTGTATGTGGTGCTGAGGATCGAACCTGGACCGCATGCATGCCAGGCGAGCGCGCTACCACTTGAGCCACATCCCCATCCCTCATAGATGATTAATAGTTCAGTAAATAGACAGTACTTGGAGGAGACATTGTAGGCAGAAGAAATGGCTTGTGCAAGTATGAAAGGGTATTTTGATAAATTACAGGTGTGACTACATCTTAGAGAACTCAGATGAGACTGTAAAAGAAATGTTGGATCCATTTATGAAGAACTTTCTATGTGATGGCATATATAGAGAATATTATTGAATAGTTTTCAAACTTGTTCACATGGCAGGACATTTGGAAGGCATAGTATAGTTTACGAGACACCATGTATCTTCCAAAACATTATAGGGACCTGTGGCATTTATTTTTTTATTCTTCAAAACATTATCTCTTCTTTACATGGCAGATAATTATTTCTTCGAGCCTGTGCTTACCAATTTTATCTTATTGTCATTACTGTATCTATTCTGTAGATATATTGAAATTAACTTTTTGCTACATTTTGTGATCTTGTCTCATCCACATTTTTGACTACTTCCTTTACCCAAAATGAACTTTCTACTTCAAATGTGTTGGCTCACTTGTAGTGAACACTTCTTCATTCTTCATTGTGTGTGTATGTGTGTGTGTGTTTGTGTGTTTATGGTGGTAGGGATTGAACCCAGGGCCTTGTGCATGTGAGGCAAGCACTCTACCAACTGAGCTATGACCCCAGCTCTCTTCAGATGTTTTAAGCATTATCCTCAGTCTCCTATGACTAAGAGTCTTGAGGACAGAGACTGGGTCTCTTTAAATATCTTAAGTGTAACTCTAGTGCCCGACATTTTGCTTTGCACATAATAGAAGATTAATAGATGTTTGAACACATGAGTTGATACTTAATCCTATATAAACTGGAAACAGTCTTAGTCATGAATAACTATAATTCTGTGTGATTCTGTAAACTTATAACCACTGAAATATATTCATTTAAATCACTTTTATTTATTTCCCAAATGTATAAATCTTCCAGATGTGTTTCCATTTCTTTGTTTCAGTTTGGTTATTTTCTAATGACCTGTCTTCTAATCTTGCTTTTGCTATATTTAATTTATTCCAAATTTATTTTCTGAATGCTTAACTTTAATCATATATTTTTCTTTCTAAATTTCTACTTGATTCTTTTAAAGATTCCAATGCTTTGATTAAATTCTCTTTTAGAGAGAGAGAGAGAGAGAGAAAGATAGTTTTAATGTTTATTTTTAATTTTTTTTTGGCAGACACAACATCTTTATTTGTATGTGGTGCTGAGGATTGATGCCAGGCGAGTGTGGTACTGCTTGAGCCACATCCCCAGCCCTAAATTCTCTTCTTTAAAAAATCATATTTTTTATCCTTTTGAAAATATTAACCATCAATATTTTATTTATAGTCTCCATTACTTCTATATCTGGTCTATTTTATTGTTGTTTTTAAAACTGGCAAAATAGCATAAAATCTGCCATCTTAAACCTTTTTAAGTACACATTTAAATGGTATTAAATATATTTACATTGTTGTACAACCATCACCACCATCCATCTTTAACTATTTTTTATTTTGCAAAAATGGAAATTAAATATTAGCTCTCCATTGCCTTCTTCCCCAGCCCCATGGCAACCAACTTGTCCGTCTTTCCTCTCTTCCTCTCATTTTCTCTTGCTCCCTTTGTTCCTTTTTCCTTTGCTTCCTTTCTTTTGCTGTTTTGTCATTTGACTTGACTTTGGTGTACTCAGTTGACTTTTTATGGAATTTTACCCATTGTATTGTAATAAGAAAAGAGAGATTTCAGACAATGATGTCTTTTCTCTGGGAAAATCTTGCCCATTCTACATAGTATCTAAAGTTTATGTTTTCTCAATATATTATTGATTTTTATCAAATGCTTTTTGGAGCATATATTGAGATTTTAATATGATTTTTTTGCCTTTATTTGCAATTATTTTCTAATGTTATTTTTTAATGTTAAACAACTTCTTATCCCTGGCTATAAACTTAATTTTATTAATACTTTATTTTATTAATATATACTTAATTTTACTTATATATTAATATATACTTAATATATATTAAGTATAATACATATTAATTATATATGTTTAATATATAATATATTATTAATATATATTAATATATACTTATATATTATTTACTTATATTAATATATACTTAATTTTATTAATACTTTGTTTCACTTGGTTTTACATAATATGTATTTAAGTTTTTGTTTAGGAGTCTTGTACCCATGTTCATAAGTTAGATGGTTTCTAATTTTTCTTTCTCATATTTTGTCATATTTTGGTATTTAATATATATTAGCCTCAATAAATGAGTTTGGAATTATTTTTTTATTTTGCATATTTTTGAAAGAGGTTAACAATGATGTATTACTTCTTTCCTAAAGATTTGCTAAACTCCAGTGATTTTAATCTGATCCCAGGCTTATTATTGCTATTTATTAATTTTTGGAGGGTGTTATTACTTTTTTAAAAATTTCATTCTTCTAATGAATGGGACTTTATAAGTTTTCTGGTTTTTTTTTTTTGGTAATCAGTTTTGTTTAGTTTATTTTTATTTCCTAGGGTTTTGGGATTTTCCTCTATTTTCTGTATTTCAGGCATAGATTTGTTTTGGTCTGCCTCTATGCATTTTTGAAAGTAGCAAGTTAAAATCTTACGTGCTTATTGATTTTTAAATATATTCTGGTATTTCTATAAACTTGCATTTATTTAGAGGTTACCTTATTAGATGCATTCAGATTTTAGAATGTTATACATCCTTGGTAAAGTGAAGTTTTTATCATTATAAAAGGATTCTTTTTTAAAAAATATTTTTTTAGTTGTCAATGTAACTTTATTTTTTAATTTGTATGTGGTGCCAAGAATCAACCCAGTGCCTCACACATGCTAGGCAAGTGCTGTACCATTGAGCCACAATCCCAGCCCTATAAAAGGATTCTTATTTGTCTTAGTAATACTATTTGTCATAAAGGAATTGTTTTCTAATCTAATATAGCTTTGTGTACATTTTATTCCTGGCTTATTACTCTGGGATAAATATCCAGGAGTATAATTGCTAGTTATATGGTAGTTACATGGTTATTTAACTTTCTCAGAGTGGCTTTACCATTTGTATTCATACTAACTATGTATATAATCCATTTCTACCATTTTATATTCATACTAACTATGTATATCATCCATTTCTATATATCTGCTCAAGAATTTGTTGTCACTATTTAGTTATTCTGATAATTATGTAGAGGTATTTGGTGATTTTAATTTGCATTTTCCTGATTGATGATGGTGAAGATCTTTTCAGTACTTATATTTATCTGTATATATTCTTTTGTGGAATGTACTTCTGTGGCTTTTGCTGATTTTCTTATTGGAGTGTTTCCTTTTTAAATGTTGATTTCATTAGTTCTTATATAGTCTAGATATTAGTCCTTCATCAGAAATTTAATTTGCATGTATCTTCTTCAAGTCAACAGCCTGCCTTTTTTCCACTCAACAACATCTTTTGTAAAGCAAACTTAAAATTTTTATTTAACAGCTAGTCTTTTTATAAACTGTTCATTTAGTGTAAGAACTCTTTGTCTAGCTCTAAAACTGAAGATTTTTTTTCTATATTTTCTCCACACACACAAAAGTATCTTTTTCTCTAGTACTAGGGATTGAACCCAGGGCTTTGCTCATGCTAGACATTTTCTGGCCATGCTCTACTACTGAGTTGCGTCCTCAGCTCTTTTTATTTTGAATCAGGGTCTTGTTAAGTTGCTGATCTTTCTGCCTCAGCCTCCAAAGTTGCTGGGATTATAGGCATGTGCATTGTCTTAATTACTGTAGCTGTATAGAAAACCTTAATATCAGATAAAAATTTCTCCCACTTTGTTATTCTTCATGAAGACGGTGTTATGTATTCTAGGGTGTATGCCCAGTCATGTAAATTTTAGAATGAACTAGTCTATTTCTACAAAAATCCTTTGTAGAATTTTCATAGGAATTATGTTAAAGCTGTATATCAGTGCAGGAAGAATTGATCTTTTTTGCTCTGTCATCAAATCCAAGAGCATAGTATTTCTCTATTTTCATCTTATTTGACTTCATTAATGATAATTTTGTGGTTTTCAACACAGTTCTATACTTGTCAAGTGTATACCTAATTATTTAATTTTTTGAATTAATATAAGTAGTATTATGCTCTTAATTTTGTTTTTCTTATGTTCATATTTTAGTATATAGAAAAGCAATTGATTTTGGTGTGTTTTTATTTATCCTTTAATCTTGCTAAAACTCTATTCATTCTAGAATTTTTTTTAATTCTCTGGGATTTTTTATGTGGATCATCATGTCATGAGGAAATAAATTGCTTAATCCCTTAACCCGCCCCCCACTTTTCTTTATTTTCTTACCTTATTGCAATGGTTAGAACTTCCCACACCATTTTGAATAAGAATTCTGAAAGTCAACATCCTTGTCTTGTCTCTTGATAT